TCAGCTCATTTATTGATGTATTTATATGTGTGATGAAAAAAAAAGAGGAGAGAAACTCATGAAACTTACACAGCTATGTACGTGAAATCTGTTGAGCAGTCAATTATGCAACATACAAATCACCTGACCACAGAATTCAGCGGCTGATGAATCTCGATCAAGAGAGCCGTGCAATAAATATGACCAAGTTTTAAAAGCCCAGCTGACGGTTTTGTGGTTTTGAGGGACATCAGCATGCAGACAAACACACACTGCTTCAGACGGCACGGAGTTTCCTCAGGGTTGCATCATGGCAAAGATGAAGAAGCTCAGATTATTTATTCAGTGTGTGTGTGTGTGAGAGCGAGTGCAGGTATGTGTCAAACACACACACACACACATAATAAGCATGTGCATTTTGATGCTTTTGATGTCTACATGAGAAGCCGACAGTCCACCTGCCCTCGTTTTTAATAGTTGTTCTGCGTATATATGCATCGGACGGTTGTTTTTGCCTGTTAAACACGTCCTCCTGTCTGTGTGTGCGAGACTTTAAACCTTCCTCAGACAAATCTACCGTGAAAATACTGCCACAGAACTAAAAAAAGCCTGTTTGGTCTCTGGATTTGGATTGTATGAAATGTTTTGAAGCTCAGAATCCTCCGTACTACATCCTCCATCCAGATATAAGAAGCTCTGAATTAGAGCCCGACCGATATATAATTTTGCCGATATGAGCCTGTTGCCGATATATCGGTATCGGCGAATATGCCGCCGATATGACATTTTTTTTCACAGAACATATAATGCAGATAAAATGCTTGAAATTACTTAGTTTGTCCAGCAGAGCACGTTCCATTGTTTGCTACTGGCAACCTGATGAAACGCTTTAAAGCTTAAGTCTATGGAAAACCATTGAAACTTTGAACAGCCATATCTCCGTAACGGCACAGCAAATCCGCACCAAATTCAGGGGATCCCTTCAGCTCGAGGAACCCTCTCGAACGTGAATCGAGTGTACGTCTAGAGGCCCACTTTCGAATGAGACCACCGCCGCATCGATAGCCCCCGGGGTTCGGGAGTTAGGGGTGGTTAAATTCCGATCAAGCGATCCGCGGAGGGTGGCGTTCGATAGGGTTCCTCGAGCTGAAGGGATCCCCCGAATTTGGTGGAGATCCACCTGCGCGTTCGCGAGATAGTGACACATCCAACACTTTCACTTCAGTAAGGAGGTCTCTTGTTCAGGCAGCAGCATTCAAGCGTTGTCTTATTCGACCGTAAGTGCCCTGCGAAGTGGACTTCACATGAAATTCCGCCATGGTTCCAGTTCCAAGGGAACATACACATTACATTCAAAGGGCATTAAAGTGCGCGAGACGTGAATTTATTTCGTATTTATTTACAGAGGTATATTATGTCACACTTCACACTTCTCTAGTAAGTTTTGTCTGTGTGTGAAGACAGTAGCGCAAATCCGTGAATGAATGTTCCGAAGTGAAATAAACTTCAACCGAATAAAGTTGAATGGAATTTAATTGAATTAGAGTTGAATAAACTTCAACTTTACTGTTCAGTGCACTGATGTCAGACTCATTTTGGATAATAACGTTTATTGTTAAATTGTTAAATGCCCTGCCTCCATTACGTATCTCTGTCATCATGTCATTATAAGTGTTTGATCACCACATCTGAGTGATCATTGCAAAAAATGTGTTTATGTATA